ATTAAATTAAATAAAAAAATTACATATAATACCTCAAACATACCAAAAGTTAACTTTCAATTAAAAAAAACCCTTTGATTTGACATCAAATTTAATTTTAATTTTAATTAAAAATTAAGATTTAATTAATTCAATTAATTAAAAATAATTAAATTTTTAAAAATTCCAAACACTTGGAAATTTTTCTTTCGGTCATTCCCAACTTTTGGAGGTGATTTCAAGCAGTTGGGAGTTCTTTTAAAACAAAATCCTTAAAAGCCCTCCAATTATGCAATTTTCATAAATACAAATAAATACCAAACTTCTAAAAATCTTAACTAAATGTAAAAAAATCCAATTCCAACAAACTTAGTGTCTAATAACTCATCTTAAGATCTACTAAAGATCTAATATTAAAAAAAAAAAATCATAGCTCAATCTTAATTATGAAGTCAAAATTTGTCCCCTTAATTTAATGATTAAAATAATCCAAAAATTCTAAAAAATCATTTAAAATTCCAGGAACCTTAATCAAATTAGCAACCAATTAACCTTCACACCTTAATCAAAAGAAATCACTTAATCATACATGTTACCATTATGTAACACAAGCCTACAAGGCTATTAAATTAGGTGCAACGAAGTTGAAATAAACTTCACGGCCTCAGTGAGCAACAATGATGATAGTTAATCAACATCTAAAACACGCCTTAAAATTAACTTCCAACCATTAATACTTAAACTCAAACTTAAATCAATCGAGCCTTTCAACTAATTAAAATTTCAAACAAATTTAACCAATTACCCTACATAAGACATATCCAAATAATACAACCTTCTACACACACTTTAGATAATTTGTTAGGACAACCACCTCTAGTCTTAAGCTAGGCCGGTAAATAATTTTTCGTTGTGTGGTAGGTTTTAAAGTTTTCACTACATGTTATGTTTAAAAATTGATTGATGTGCTTATTTATTTAATTTTTACACTTTATTATGTGTTGATTGTGCATTAGGTTACCCCTGTGTTAGGGATGATTTATGCTAATTCAATCTTATGCAAAAGACCATGCTCATATAGGGCATTTAATATAAAAGGGTGTAAAATCATAAATATTAAGATGCTATAGGTGATGCTGCTACGCTAAGTCCCACTTTTAAAATTAAAAGAGCATGACCAAGTGTGGCTGTGAATTTGAGCATTTAAAGTTTTAATATATATAATTGTTTGGGATGTTAAATTAACTTTTAATATATTAGGATAACCCGGCAGATTATTGAGTCTAGATTTTTTTTATATTTAAATGTAATTTAATACATTTTGAGTTAAAATTTAAAGTGACATTTGAGATGGGTTTTAAACATCCAATAAGGAATCCAAAGAGGAAGGGACATCCCTTAGGGGAGAGTCCTTCTCCATTTGGAGATCAAAATTAGGATGACTTTAAAATATCCGAAGGGAAAAGATAACACCCTTTTCGAGAGAGAGTTTCTTTTCATTTGTATATCCAGACCTGACGATCAAAGAAGTCCCACAAAAAGACGAATAAGTGAAGAAGGGGAAGACCCATTCTTAAAGTCTCTTAAGTCTTAGGAGTAGAATTCAGGTTATTACTAGTGGTACCCGGCCACTTTACTTTTTCTGTAGACCCTGATTTATAATATTAAATGGCATTTGCCTATGGAAATTTTATTTATTTAATTGATTTAATTATTCAGTTGATTGTGATATAGGATTACATACTCTTAATAATTTTTTTGTGATCTTACACATCGATTTCGATTTAGCTTAGAACCTGATCGGATGCTTGTGAGGGTACGAATAAAATTTTTCTACCTTAATCAAATTTAAAATATGTAAGCTCTCATAGCAACTCTAACACTTCTACGAAGTAAGGTTGGGATCATTAAGAGTTCAAATAAGCTTTTTTTATGCATTCTTCTTTCCTTTATTAGGCACCTCCCCACCTGCGAGTTTTGGCAGACCACCTGGCTTATGAAGGTGCATATATGTTAAGGGGAATATGTATAATTCCTATGATAAAAATCTATTTTTAAGCCTTTTTTAAAACTGCTTCATTTTGATTTAAGCATTTATCAAGTCGATCATCATGCATTGCATTACAAATCAATTTAAAAATGAGTCTAAATCTTTATTGCATCTCTTTTTAGTATTTTCACTCTATATATGTCAAGAGAAAAATTAGGAAAAGCTCTAAATGTTGGTCCTAACTATCAAAATCCTTAACAAAAATGCCCCTACCACTCTTTTATAAAATGATCGAACTCACGAATTTAAAATCGACTGGGTGGTTAGCTGGCTCCCCAATCCAGGCTAGGGTAAGTCAAAATTTTATAATGTATTGTTGAGTCTAGTAATTAGGTTGTTAAGCCTAAGTTAATGTCCCAAAGGCTACCAAGGGGGGAGTGAATTGGTAGTTTAAAAATTTTAAGCCCTCTTTTAAAATTATGTTGAACCGAAATAAAAATTGTTTCTTTTAAGTTTTGTAGAAAAAGTTTTTCAACCACAAAGTTTTTAAGACTAAGAATTAAAAATGCGGAAACGTAAAAACAGTAAAGTAAATGACACCAGATTTATAGTGGTTCGGTCTAAAACCAGACCTACATCCACTCCCCAGAGGCACCCATTGAGTATTGCACTAATACCAATAGTGACTCTCCTTTTGCACCCACAGCAAGGCGAAGAAGCCTTCGCTCCAGTGGTAGGAATCCTCCTTTGAATGCACTCTCACACTCTCTCCTTAGCTATTCTCTCAAGAGGCACGAAGATCAAATGATAAAAAGATTGGGTGGCAGTCTAATTTGGACTATTTATACAAAAGACAAGAAAAACCGTCTAAAAACTGCAAGTTTTCATTTCTGTACGCAGTGGATCGTCCCGTACGATCGTGGATCGTCCTGGACGCACTACAAGAAAATGGTTCAATAGCGACCAAAAAAATAGAGACAAAAATAAATTGGTCGCTAAAGATATCTTTTAGCGACAAAAAATTAGTAAGGCCTCTAAATAATTAGGAAGTTTGATATTAGCCACAAAAAAAAAAATTTGGCCGCTAATTTTGTCGCTAAAAATTCAGAGAATCTTTTTCTCAAAAATGATGAATAATTATTCTTTCTAATTGTGTGCATAATCATACTGTTCACAAATATATCAGGGGTCCAAGGGAGTGTAGCACCCCCTATCGGGGTTCGACCTGACCTAATAAATAAAAGGATGAATTCAATTTAATATTTATAATTTTATGTTGATAAACCTAATAATTTATTGATGAAATAAATTACAATATATAATATCTAAAATTTATTAATTACTTAAATAAAATTATACAGCAAAACCTACTCTTGCGATCTCATTCTCACGCACGCGATCGAACTAGGGCAAGATCTCATTCTCACGCACGCGATCGAACTCCCTCGTTTTCGCTATTACCCTTTGCCCTACCTTTAGGGACGACCTTAAACTCATTCGCTAACTGCAATTGCCAACTGCAAATCGACGGACTCTCGGCCACGACATCTCTCAGTCGCGCATTGGTATGAGTTTCTTCACTCACAATTCTTCGGACAATCCCGCAAACTCGTCTTCGCCGGTTTCTCCTTCTCAGGTTATCCCTAATACCATTCTTCCTGTTTTAATTTCAAAATTTCTATGATCTTCTTTATACTATGATACCCTTGAAGGCAACTAATGATACACACCTTCATTACGATTTTCCATTCAATTTCGTTATTCTGTAAGAGAAACTTTTTCCTGCTAACAAGATTTGCATAAATGTTGTCATTTCTCATCTTTGGAAGAAATCAACCGAGACAAACATGAATGTATCATGTAAGTAAAAGTTTAGAACTTATAAATCGATGTAAAAAGAGAGAACGATTCCTATCAGAAAGTTGTAGGATAGTAACCAGAACATAGGAAGAGAGAAGAATATAAAGTAAAATAACTGTTAAAATCTTGGAAAGTCACCAAATCCAGAAACATTAGGCACAAAAGAAAGCACAGTAATGGCTTATAGAAGTCACAACCATCCGTGTATAATCAATTACGATTAGGAAGAAAATAAATTTGTGTGCTGCTTAATATGAACAAGATTTCATGAGAAACCCGCTGCTGCACTTTTGGAATGTTTTCAGATCATCAAATACTTGCTAGTATTTGAATTATGATTCCAGAGCACTTAAGTTTAAATTTTATTATTGAATTATGCGGTTTACAAGTGATTAAAAATGTTAATTTCATCCAGTTTGACCATAAATTTGTACACGTATATGCTACAGAACATGTAGTGTGAGTTCATTGCCGAGAAGTTTGACAGGAAAATGAAGAGCAAGCAAATACATGTAGAAGTTCTGATACGATATTCATTGATTATAAAATTGTCCATAAGATAAAGAACTGTCTTATTTTTATGAAATATGCTACAGCGCCTATTTTAAATTATAGGCTTTCAATCTCTAAGATGTGTAACTTTGCTTATTGAAGGCATAGGCTATTTATCGCAAGTTCAAACTTAAAAATTGGTCTATTTGCTTGTTTGCATAGTAAATTCTACCAATAATCTCATAGAACTTGTCACTAAGGTATATGTTAAAAAAAATAGTGTTAACCAGGGGGAGTAAGGCTTGATGTTTGAAGAAGTGATGAATGATGCATTTCACAAGGCCTTGTTGGTTGGTTAAGATCATCCTCTTGTTGTATTTAAAGGAGGTGTTAGTTGGATGATCTCTATCTCATTGACTTTTTTGTTAGTGTTTTTATCATCCATGTTGCAAAAAATTGATGATTATAAATTTATTTAGGTCATGTAAGTAGATGACCTCTGCTACATCTCATTAACATTTTTATAAGTTATGTTTTAGTTATTCACAATGAATTTTCTATTGTCTTCAGAAAAAAATTTCAAATGAGAAATGATTTGAAGCATTTTATTTATGAATATTTACCTAAATTTAAATAATTTTTTAAAAGGGGTATAAGATTAATCATGCGATAATTATTTTTTCTTTGGTTTCAAATATAGAACTAACATGCAATGTGAATTTAGGCTTTGTTTGGTACGCTTAGGTTTATGCTTTTCCAATTAAAACTTAATAGATGTTTTTTGGGCAACAATTTTATATACATATGAAACATTGATAAATAGATGATTTGAGCTTTTTTTTTTGTTTTATTATTTGTTTGTGGACCTTATTTGTTTGATGAATTATTGGATCATTGGATTTGGAGATTGTTTTAGTTCAGCCTATGTTATATGTGTTTCATGGGAAAGATGGTTATCTTCTTTAATGGTTCATATTATTTAATATTTCTTTTATTTTATATTTAACATCTGCACTTTACTTTGCTATTTCTAACGGTTGCTTAGGTGATATGCTATGGTGTGTTGAATTTTGCTTGAACTAAAATTTCCTTGCCCTTAGACTACTTTTTTTATGACTTCCCATGTAATCTATTATGATTTGTTAAAATTTTTGTTCACTAGATTTATGTTTTTCTTCTAATTTTGTTGAAATCCATCCTCTATTACTATTTCAGGTTTTGTTTTATCATTTTGTTCACTAGTTAACCCGCTTGGTCTATGGGTTCTTCTTTGGCAATGGTTATTAGCTGTTGGTTCCATGTTGATTTTTTTTTTTTTTTTTGAGAATTTATACCAGCGCTTATTGAGAACTTAACATGACTTTGGACCTATGCTGTTGGGAAATCTTAAGAAACCCAGGGCACAAACTGGATTATTCAAGTTTATATACAAGAAGAAGCTAACATTGGAAGAAAATAAGAAAAGGAACCTTACTACTACTTCAGAAGTGGTTGAGCCATGAGTGGGAAAGGCATATCTTATATTGTCTTTGATGCTGCTGGTAAATCGGTTTGTAGTTTCTGGGTAATATAAAGGCATTTTCAAGCCAACGATGTTTTTAAGCAGGCATTCTCACACCAAAATCAGGTTTCCATGTGTTTCTATTGGTAATATGCGCTCTTGACTCGATTTCAAGTAATTCACTTTGATATTGAATTTGATGAAGTGTGAGTGATTTTGAGCATTTTCAATTTACAGACATGTTTACTGGTTCTAGATTTTGTTTATAAACTGTTGAAAATAGAATCCTTCACCTTTGTGATTGATAATGTGTAAAAAATGTGGTGTGCTTGCTGACCAGGTTTACCAGAAGTGTTAATGTAGGTTTTAGGTGATCCATTGCATTACAATATCTCGGCTGTTCATTTATTTACACTTGATGATTTTTTTTTTGTGAAGATAGTTCTTTATTGATTATATTCTAATGAACTAGGCGTGTCATTTAGAAGGTTAGGACGTTACAAAGTTCAAGAGAATGATCTCTCATCTGAATTTGATTGAATCGTACTCCAGGTGATTAGAGTTTCATGCTTAGTGAAACTTTTTGGCCATTTTCTGGTATGCATATAACAAATTTTCATTTCACTGGAGGATTGAAATTTTTCCTTATATTAGTTAAATGTTTATTTTGAAGATTTTGTTATTAGAGATGGACGGATCCTGAATGTATATTGCGTACGAAAGCTTATTGATGACATTTCTTATATGCTAGCTATTCAAAAATTATTAATTCTGCCCTTCCATTTAGTTTTTAATTTACAAATTGGTTATAGGGGCAAGTAATTGTGCCTGAAGAAGAGTGGGAAGAATTTATCTTATATCTTATATTGTCTTTATGCTAGAAATTGTTCCGATTTCCTCATTGTCCTTGGATATTATATCTGTTTTGTCTTTTTGTTTATTTTCAATAACTTGGTTCATATATGCTTTAGGATTTACCAATAAACCTCCTATTTGTTTACTGTGTAATTCTTAAAGTTTTATGGAGTTGAGATCAAGTTGATGATTGGATTTGGGCTGGTTAGGTTTGGAACGGTTATTTCGTTATAATTTCACTCTCAATAGTTTTTGAGCAAAGAATCAGCTCTATTGTAATCAAACACAAACTAATTCTCTAAGGCGCAGGTTCATTAAGGAAGCAAGGAATCAGCTCTATTGTCCAACAGAACCAGGAATTTAGCATTCAAAATGAAGATTTTCCAGCATTACCTGAATTTAAAGGTATTTAAAATTTTCTTTTATGTTAATGCTGCCGCAATAAATTGAATTACCTGGTATTCATCTACATAACCTCCTTGATAATGTCATAATTTTCTGAATGGTATGCTTCCTTTTTCATTATGTAAGCAATGTTTTTATTTCTTTTTTTTGGGAAATTATGATTGCCTGATCATGCTATTGTATTGTTTTAAATTTAATTTAATTTTAAGTTGTTGCAAACTGAATGTTCCCAATTTTCTGACTATTATTCCAGACACAAAAGTGTTGACATATACTTTAACCTTCATTTTTAGGTGGTAGCTCTGATTTTTCCTTGGATTTGCATCAGAAGGAACAACTTCATGAAAATGTTTCAATGCTTCAATCGCAACATTTCCCTGTAAGACAAGTTTCCTGTTTGTAGTTAGTTGTGTCAGGTGGCGTTAATATTGTTGTTAATTTGTTATTGTTTATGCTGAAGATTTATTGTATGTTTCTTTTATTTGTGATGGAAAATAAGTGTTTTTTTTCCAATATGTTCCTTGGATTGATTAATAAAGCCCCATAATCTTATGTTTGCATTTCTCTTGAGCCTGAAAGAGTGCTTCCTACTTTCAAAAACTAGAAAGAAAGAGTGCTTCCGTTTCTTTCATCTATTGCTTGATTTCTGGAGATGGAGCCATTCTTAAGAAATTGAGCAATGGCGATTAGCTTATTCCTAAAGTATCCATTTTTGCTCACATTTTCATTTGGGGTATGCTCAGTAACGTGGTATTTTGGTTTCGCTGTGGATTGATTTTTTTTTCAACTCATTATCACATGGCCTTCGCGTGAGGTTCCGTCTTTTCTTTTCTTGTTTTTTCCCATCATTTTCTAGTAGTTCGAGATGGTTGTAGTGTGTTAGTTTCTCACCATCAGTCCATCACCATATAATGCCAAAATCCAATGATTTCCATGTGATTTTATTTGATTAGAGCTTTTAAAATCCAATTCTATTTTATTAGCCTCTCTAGTGATGAACAGAACAAGCTGAGATGTAATAATTTTCCAACTTTCTGAAACCACTGCTCTACCTTATTTGGAAATGAAACCTGCTAATCATTCTCCTCAACACTCAGCTTTTGGACGGAGGCGATTCTTCTCAATGGCTCCATTATCAACACTGATGGTTCACTTATATTGAGATTGCTGAGTTTGAGATGGCAATTATTAGATATCTGCACTTCTTGATGTCTTTCAAGAGAGATCAGATTGGGAGAATTTTTAATTTTGAAGTATCTAAGCACCGTGAGTCTTGATATTTCATCAGCTAGAGGAAGAGTTGCTACAGGTGGTCTTGAAGAAAAATATTGTTTTATTTTTAGTTTGAATTCAAGTCAATTTTGTGTAAAAATATATTGGATTAACTATTTTCACCTGAACAGCGGGCCTACTACTAGTTTTTATTGTTTCTTTTTGTTTTTTTTTTAATTTGTTCTTTTGTTGAATGGAAGAATGAAAAATGTAAAGAAAATTATTTTTGATGTAGTAGTTTTTTGTATTATATATATTTTTTAATTTGTGTTATCCTTTAGCAGCAGTTTTAACACTTCCTGAAAGCGTTGTTGTAGCCTTCCTTAAGCAGCATTCATGATACCGTTGCTAAAGCATTTTTAGCGAACACAAATACAATGGTGTTTAAACCGCTTTAGTAGGTCATAAAAAGTGCTGCAAAAGTTTTTTTTAGTAGTTATATATGCTTTTTATTATTGTTACCTCAAGTTAATAAAATGTGTTATTTCTCTATTATGAAATTTATCTAACTAGTTGCAATATAAATGAGTAATGGATTGATCTTAATTGTTATAGC